CCGGTGTTTCAGCTATTGCTGAGCAGTGCTTGCACAGCTTCAAGGCTTTCTCTCCAACGCCCCACCACCAACCTCAAAGGTTTCTATGCTTGAGATGGGATTTTGAGAGGGGACATAGCTGGGACAGCTGACCCAAACTGACCAAAGGGATATCCATACCATACAACATCACACACAGCAATAAAAGCTGAGGGAAAGGGGAAGGATGGGAGGACATTCGTGGTTATGTCATTTGTCTTCCCAAGCAATTGCTAGATGTACTGAGGCCCTGCTTCCCAGGATGTGGCTGGATATCTGCCTGCCGATGGGAAGTAGCGAATAAATTACTCTTTTTGCTTTGCTTCTGTGCACAGCTTTTGCTTTTCTTAATAATTGTATTAATCTCAACCCATGAGCTTTTAATCTCATTTTCTCCCCTAGTCCTATTGAGAAGGGAGAGTGGCTGGGGGGGCGTCTGGCAGCCAGTCAAGGTAAAACCACCACAGGGTTCTGGACAAGTGTTAATTTTCTTGACTGATTCTCTCTATTTTGGTTACTGCTGATCACAATGAAAACAGATGATGTAAACTTCAAAGGCATTTTCATACGAGAATTCTCAATTTGATTCAATACTGCCAACCTCAAACGTTTGGTAATCATCAGTCCCGATTAAAGAGAATAAAAACACTCTGGATCTTCCCTTTTAAGTCTTGGCATTTGAGCCCACGAGCATGTGGTTTTATGACCAGTATATTCTAGTTCAAGTCTGTGTCGCCCTACTGACAGTAGCCCTACTCTCACAAGTGCCTGTTTTATATTCCCGCTGCTTGTCTTAGGTCAACACGGCAGTGAGGAGTAGAGTCAAACGAGCTTCAGGATCTGGCTGGCAAAAACAGGGACAAGAAGGGTCTCATTCATTCTCGCAAAATATTTTGTTTCAAAGGTGGTTTGCAGTTAGCAGTCAGGCTGTGTTCGGTGTCTGCCATAGGGTGGCCCAGGAGGAGTGGATGACGCAGGAGGTCTGCACAGGAGTCCAGTTT